GAGGCAGAGGCAGAGAGAGAGAGAGAGAGAGAGAGAGAGAGAGAGAGAGGTCTTCATTCACTGGTTCACTCCTCAATTGGCTGTAATGGCAGGGGCTATGCCAGTCCGAAGTCAGGAGGCAGGAGCTTCTTCCTGGTCTCCCATGTGGGTGCAGGGGCCCAAGGACTTGGGCCATCTTCCACTGCTTTCCCAGACCATAGCAGAGAGCTGGATCAGAAGTGGAGCAGCCAGAACTCGAGCCAGTGCCCATATGGGATGCTGGCACTGCAGGCAGCAGCCTTGCCCACTGCGCCACAGCCAGCCAGTATTTTTTTTAATTATTGTGGTTCCTTTTATTGTAGTAGGTTGTCTCTGTGCCAACAACTAACCTGAGATGTGAACTTGAGATCATCTTAAGCCTGTTCTGAGTCTGTGTCTTTCCCTGGCATTGATAAGCACTTTGTAATTTCTCCACATATGTATTTTCTTTTGATTTTCCTAATCATCAATGTCTGGGTCACATATGGGAGAAAAAAAAAAGAAAAAGAAAACAGGTTCCAGCCCCTTATAATCCCTGAAAGGCACTTAAGCCAGAGTGGGAAGGGTTTACAATATTAGGGAGAAGTGTGAATACAATGGCTGTTCACCTCTTTGTTTCCATGTCTGGGAACAGATGCAGCAATCAGTTCTTAGAGCACACATCCTCAATATTTGGGGGACAAGTTCCTTTTTTTCCACTCCAGCTCCCACAAGCTGGGTGCAAGCTGCTCCAATAACATGTGCATCACTGCCTGCCTCAGAGCTGGTGGTGGGGGCTGGGGAGCTGTCACTGTACTCTGAGAGTTGAAAATGACCAAAGTTAACCACACTTCCGTGCCTTACCCCATATACTCCAAAATCAAAAAAATTACATCAGACAGCTCTTACCCATGTAATTGCTGTCTATGTAGGGAGAGAGATTGCTGGTGTTCCTTGATTTGTACTTCGCCAGCTTCCCAGAATCCTCTTACACTGACATTTTACACAGGCACACTTATAATTATGCCTTTCTGAGTATATTCTAAAGTTGCTCGCGCATCTGTTCTCTTCCTGACATGACAAAAACCTTACTATATGTTGTCTTCTGTCGGTGCTCTATTTCCACAATTCTTGAAGTGTGTTTTGAAAAATTTTGTTTTCTTGAATTTTAATTCCAGCTTGTTAGAAACATTGCACATGAAACTTTTCACCTCTTATCCCTCCGCTTCCCTCTACCCTCCCCCTTGAACTTTAAAAAAAAAAAAAACTGTGATAACTTAAAACACAGACACAGAAGTAATACTACCTGGACCCAAATCTACCAGGTAGGCCTTAGTCCACCAAGTGTGTGACGTTGGGCCAGTTACTGTACTCTCTGAGCTCCAGTTTCCTCCTCATCATAAAGAAGAATATCAAAACTTTCTGTTTCATGGCCATTGTGGGCATTCCATTATTTAGTGTATATAAAGTGCTTATCGTAGTACCTGACACAAAGTAAATTCTCAATAAATGTTAAATATTATTTTTCTTCTTCCTATTTTTTTCCTTTAATCATCAACACATGTTGAGATTGTTAAATGCCTTAAAATGAGTATTTTTTTTTGTTTTCATGCCTTCCTTTTGGTTTCTTGTTCACATTTAATAAAAGTATATAACCTTTAATAATTCTTCCAGCAAGAATTGATGGAAAGTCAAATTTGTAGGTCCTTCTATGTATCAGAAGGTTTTCATTTTATATTCATTCATAAGTTATAGGCTCAGCTTCTCTTTGCATGTTGAAGACATTAATTGTGATGCTCATAGAGAATTGGGTCCCAGTCTTCATCTTATTCTCATAATATATCTTCCTGTATTGCACAGTCAGGAAACTGTAAATCTAGGGCAGTGTTTAGTTCAGCACTTGGGATGCCCCCATGCCATATCAGAGAGCATATGAGTTCAAGTCTATGCTGCTTTTCTGATTACAGCCTCCTGCTAACGCGCATCCTGGAGGAAGTAGATGATGGTTCAAATAGTAGGGCCCCTCCCACCCATGTGGGAGATCTGGATGGATTTCTAGGCTACTGGCTCCAACCTGGCCCAGTTCAGTTATTGTGGTCACTTAGGGAGTAAACCAGTGATTGGAAGATCTCTCTTTCAAATTGAAAATAAAGATATAAAAAGAGAAAAACCACAAAACATTATTTCCAAGATTGTCCTCCAGTAAGAGGTTCTGCAATTAGGTTCCCTTGAGATTCGGGTGATGGATAAGAAGCAGTGGCCATCTTCCTGCTTCTTTGCCTCCTTCTTCTGGCAAGTATAGTCATGCAGAACTTGTGTTTTTCTATTTCATTGTTCCTTTGCCTACTGAAAAGTTTCTTGAGTAGCAAAAGCTGATTGTGATGTGGTAGCAGCTTTCTGATCCTTGCATCACAGCTAGAGGTGGATATTCTTTATTTTTATTTTTTTGAAGATTTATTTATTTGAAATGCAGAGCGAGGGAGGGAAGGAGGGAGGAAGGGAGGGAGAGAGAGAGAATAAATATGGGAATCTTCCATCCACTGGTTCACACAACAGCAAAAGCCAGGAGGCAAGAACTCCATCCAGGTTTCCCACATAAATGGAAGGGGCCCAAGTACTTGCTCCATCTTCTACTGTCTTCCTAGGTATGTTAGCAGGATTGGAAGTAGAGCAGCTCAGACTTGAATGGACACTCCAATATGGGATGCCAGCATTGAAAACAATGGCTTAATTCACCTCACCACAATGCTGGTCCACATTGTTTTACTTTTGAGACTACTTAGTTTTTTAAAAATATTTTTAAATGTGTTTGCAATGTTGCAGTGTGTTTGGAAAAATGTCTGGTAATGGAATAGGCCAGGGTGGTGCTAAGAGTGAGTTTAAGAGATTCCAAGATAGTTGAATAGAGAAAAGACACTCTGATTTTGATCACAGGAAAATATCTGACAAATGGGAGGATCTGCGTTCCTGGGAGATGGACAGAAGTTTTCAGTGAAAAGTCGACAGTAAGAAGAGAGACTCCCTCCCAGGAGGGGGACATCTTGACAAGGCAGGATTGGGCTCAGGCTGAGGAGCACAGCCTGAGGTCAGGGGCCCTGGGAACACCCAGTCACAGCCCAGGGCTCCCCAGGGGTCAGAGTGCCCTGGAGAAGGGCCCTTCCAACTGCACTGGTGGCTGTGCTCTGTGGTATGTGCCACCACAGGAGGATGGACCCATGTCCTGAGCTTCCCTCCCATGTCCACACGGTTCTGTTCAGTCCCTGATGGCCCCACCCCAGCAGTTTCCCTTGGGGTGGGGCAGGAGCAGGCTGGGATTGTGCATGCTCTTAACGTTTCTCCTTTCCTGAGTGTGTGTGCTCCAGCGCCCCCGGACCCGCCCACCTACCTGCTCTCTTGCCCTCTCCTGACTCTGTCGCTCAGATCCCCATCAGCTTCCAGCAGTGGGATGGAAGGGAGACGACAGTGGGGTCCATCCCAATGGGGGCCCAGCTGCTCCCAGGCATGGGGGGGCTCAATGTGAAGAGGACCCACAGACCTGCCCTCCCTCCCCATTGCCCAGATGTCCCATCAGCTGGACCCCGCCCAGAAAGGACAGGGTCACCTTCTGCCTTTGCCCGTCGACCCTGCTTCCAGCCCCATCCTCTGCCCCTCCAGAGGGCATTGCAGGCACAGGAAGAGCTGCTGTTTGAGGATCTATTTCAGACTTGGTTTCTCTGTAAAATGGGTATACTGGCATTACACTGAGATTACAGATGCAAAGCACCTGTGCCTGGAACGTGACATCATTGGATGTCAGTCCCTGCCACCTGGTTTCTTCTTCATGGTCACAAGGCCACTCCAAGGATGACCAGAGGACCCCCACTGAACTGACTTCTCCCGCTTAATGCCCACAAGCACCCAACAGAGCTTTGCTAAGATGCACATGGTGGGGATGAGCCTAGGACCACATGGTAGAAAGGGCTGGGCTCAGAGCCTCCTGGGTGATGCCTTTCACCAGCACAGGACAAACCTGCTGGTGGGAAGGGCGGTCCCTGTCATCACGATGCTGTCCTACCTCAGTCTGCTGGGCGTGTGGTCCCTGGGGGGGATGGGTAGTGGGGCCATCAGGGACTGAACGGAACCATGTGGACATGGGAGGGAAGCTCAGGACATGGGTCCATCCCCCTGTGGTGGCACATACCACAGAGCACAGCCACCAGTGCAGTTGGAAGGGCCCTTCTCCAGGGCACTCTGACCCCTGGGGAGCCTTGGGCTGTGACTGAGTGTTCCCAGGGCCCCTGACCTCAGGCTGTGCTCCTCAGCCTGAGCCCAATCCTGCCTCGTCAAGCCGCCCCTGTCCTGGGAGTCTGTGAGCCTTCTTCCATCGCACCCCAATGCCCTTCTCCCCAGGTCTCTCACGAACGCCCTGCCCTCGTCCTCAGGCTTCCCCCAGCCCCCTCCCCAGCCTTCTGCCAGCTTGCCCGCCCTAGAGCCTCTGGCCTGCTTCCTTGGGGGGCCAATGGGAGTGGGGCTGAGTTTGCACCTGAGGTGGGGGAAAAGGAAGAGACTTCCAGGGCCCATGGATGCTTTCTTTCCCTGAGACCCCCAGAGGCCGGCCCACAGGGGCAATGGGGACTTGACCACCTGCCGCTGTTTGCACAAAGTGCCTGTGGAGGCTGTGTGCCACTTCCCTTCACTCCTGCCCACTCCAGGGTCCAACTGAATGAAGCATCAGACTCGACAATGGAAAAGACTTAGGTCTCAGGTGTTTGGATGCCAGTAGTGGGTGGGGCCAACTGCCACTCCTTGAGCCAGGTTCTGCTGCTGCCTGTGTCTCATGCGGTAGTGGTGCAGGTCAAGGCTGGGGACATTGGGAGCAGACTCTGAAGAGCTGGCCATTCCCTGCCACAGCCCCACCCCCAGCCCCTAGCTCTGGCCAAGGCCATGGAAGCAGCGGTCCCAGCACTGGGCCTCCCTCCTCCCAGGCTACTGCATCATGCCCACCAGAAACAGGAGGCCTCAGGCAGGATGACGATGTCCTGGACTCAGGACTTATCTTTGTAACTTAGAGACAACAGCACGACGACACCACAAACAAAAACACCTGGCTGAGCAGACGATGCTGTCCAGGACACAGTTAATCACACACAGAACAGTGACGTCATTCAGGCCAGTATCTGCATGTGCAGAAGCTCCACTGCCTGGAAAACAGACTGCCATAAATACAAAGTGCATGGAGACCGCGCCGTGCAGCAAGGGCCCCGTGGGGACAGGAAGCGGTGGTGACGAGGGCGGTGGGAAAGCAGAAGCTGGCTAACTACTTTGCCCAACAGACAGGCACATGAAGCCCAGGGCTGGTCAAGGCATATCCCAGGGTGGCCAACAGCTTCTGGCCAAGACAGCTATGACCAAAGCCACTGCGGACACAGTGCCACTCTGGACCGGGCCAGGATTTCCATGCAGTGGGGGCCCCAGGGCGGGGCTCCTGAAGCTGCACCCCTTCCTCCCTGTAGGGAAGCAGCCTCCTAGGCCCTAGGCAAACCCCTGGAGGGAAGAAGGCTGGGGCACCTGGACATCCTTCTTCTCCCCTCTCACTGGGCACATGCACACCCATAGAGAAAAGCCTTCCTCCTCCGTCCCTGGCTGGCCAGGAATGGCTGCAGCTGGTGATCCTGTCCCCCAGAAGGTGAGACAGGGCTCTGAAGGGACCAGACCTATGTAGCAGACCCACGGAGGCCTTGGCTCCTCCTGTCCCCTCCAGCCCTGTGGATATCTGGTCCCTCAGAGGCCACCCTCAGACATCTGTGCTTACAGACTCCCAGAGGTGGACCTTGCAGACAAGGTTGGCATGGACAAGAGGGGCCAGCAGGACTGGGGGTTCCCAGGAGACTTGGCAAAAGGAAGGATGTCATCAGGTTGTGGCTGTGGGCAAACATGGGGGGCAGGGGCACGTGGCAGCCACCATCCAGCCTCCGCCCATCCCTGAGACAGGCAGAGGTCTTCCAGGATCCCAGCTCCAGGGGCAGGGCTTGATCCCTGGGCCACTCTGTCCCTAGAGTTGAGCAGACGCTGCAGTTTTCCATCTCAGGAATGCAGAACAGGGGCCTCAAGCCACCAGCCGAGGTTGTGTGGGAACCAGGATGGCTGCTGAGGGCCAGGGTCTCTCCTGGCTTCCATTTAGGCTGCTCCTGACCATTCGTGGGTGCCAGTGTGCATCACACCCAGGGCCTCCAGGGCTAACTGAAGCCCATCTGCAGGAGATTCTCTCGCATGACCCTGACGGTAGGGGACCGAGCCTGGGGACGGAGAGATGGGGTCAGGCCATGGGTCCCCACCCCTTCCCACCCCACGTTTCTCCCTTGACCCTCCTGGTTACATCGTGTCCCCAGCGAGCATGCCACCATTATTGTCCCCACTGATAGGCTCGTGCCACTTAACTGCTGAAGAGCCCTTGGTCACGGTTGGGGTGGGAAGGTTAGGTTCGGGGGTGAGACTTGGCTCCCCCGGGTTCTTGGACCCATCTCTCCTGTCCCCCATCTCAGTACGCTGTCCTGGCCTTGCCCATGACCTTCCATACCATTCCCAGGAAAGCCAGATCCCTGGATAGCCTGCCCCTGGACCTGGGTTACCCGGGTTCTCCATCCCACCATGCAAGCTCTTGGAGAACTGTGGAGGAGGGCAGGGGACAGCAGACACAGGGGCAGCCTCAGCTCCACCTCCTTCTACTGTGTGGGGCAGGGGGAGAGCCTGAGGCTGCCTTTCCTTCCTCCAGTTCTGTGGAGCAGCTGTGCGGGCTGGTTTGCCTGGGTACCTTCCACGTCTCCTCCAAGCCACCAGGAACAAGAGCAAACCCCAACCCCTTCCCCAGAGCCTCAGTTCCCCCAGTCACTGGGGAGGGAGAACACAACTCCCACATAGAGTTGCTAGAAGACCTTGGTGCCCACGGAACGCACCCAGCTCTTCCCGTGCTAGGAGCTGATATCCAGACGACCCCGCCCCTCTGGGTCTCTGTCCGTGCTGGGCGTCCACCATGAAGGTCCTTCCTCTCTTCCAGGTCAGGCCCTTCACTCAGCTGCTCTCTGTTCGTGGCCAGGGCAGGGGCCACCCATGGGCAGGGACATGCCTCTTGCCAAGGCCAGAGAAAGGGCTGGTCACCACCTACAAATGGCAATCCCTGGAAGAGAAAGAAAGAGGTAGAGACTTCAGAGTTGCCTGGCCACCCAGAGATGGCTTTGTTTCCCCAAGTGTCGCCTCCTCTGCCACCCCCTTCTCCACTTGCTCTCCCTCCCTGGTTGGAGATCTGCTGTCTGTTCAAGGAGTTTCTCCCATCACCCCAAATCCCTTCAGTACACAGTGGACTTCACAGGCCTCCAGGGCTGAAGGATGGAGCTGGGTGGTGCTCAGAGGATCATGTCAGGAGCTGTAGGGCAACTGGGCTGACATGGCTGAAGAGCAAGACTGTGGCAAGAGGGGATAGGTAGAAACCAGACTCCTTCCTGTCTCCAGATGCCTAGTTTAGGGAGAGCCCCTCAGAGAGGGGCTAGGGCTGGCAAAAGGAACAGCAGGAGCAGGCAGAGACCAGTCCCCTGGCCCCAAAGACAGGGCAGGAGGCAGTCAAGGACTGTGGGGAAGCCGCAGGGAGCGCCAGGGTCCTGAGCGCAGAGAAGGGCACAGACCTGGGGTTTAGCCCAGAGAACCCTGCTTCCTATCTGTCCACCCAGAGACAGTGCAGGAGGAGGGCAGGTGCATCTTTTCTCCTCCAAGGCCTTCCCACAGCTGCCCAGCCTATCCCCATGCATCCCTGGGGGTTCAGGTGACACCAAGGGTCCTCTGGAGAAAGGGCACAGGTACCAGGCTGTGGGCAGGAGGGGAGGCCATATCTGCTGGGGATGGGCTGACCTTCTGGGATGAGATGTTGAGAACACTGCCTGCCCCCACCCATCACAGAATTGTGATGGGTGCAGGCTAGAGCCTGAGCAGACAAGAGCCCGGGGCTCTGTCTCCTCTCCTTTCGGCTGGGCAGCTTTGGTGGCTGGTTTACCCAGGTCCCTTCCATGTTTCTTCCAAGCCAGCAAGGAGTCCTGACATGTCGATGTCATAGCAACTGCTCCCTCCCCTGCTCCAATCTGCGGCCTTCGTCTGCCTCCCTCCTAATCCAACATATGGCCTCCTCCACCATCCCCCCTCCAACCTGTGGCCTCGTGCTGTGCCCCCTCCAACCTGTCAGTTCCTAACTGTGGCCTCTTACCACCCCCCCACTCCAACCTGTGGCCTCTTACCACCCCCCTTCTCCAATCTGTGGCCTCTTAACTCCCCCCCACTCCAATCTGTGACCTCCTATCTCTCGAACCACCCCCCAATCTGTGACCTCCTATCTCTCGAACCACCCCCCCTCCAATCTGTGACCTCCTATCACCCCCCCCACTTCCAACCTGTGACCTCCTATCATGCCCCACTCCAACCTGTGGCCTCCTATTACCCCCCACACTCCAACCTGTGGCCTCCTATCACCCCCTCCTCCAATCTGTGACCTCCTATCACGCCCCACTCCAACCTGTGGCCTCCTATCACCCCCCTCCTCCAACCTGTGGCCTCTTGTTGCCACCCCCAACTCCAGCCTGAAACCTCCTATCACCCCCCCACTCCAACCTGTGGCCTCCTACCACCCCCCTCCTCCAATCTGTGACCTCCTATCACGCCCCACTCCAACTTGTGGCCTCCTACCACCCCCCAACTCCAGCCTGTGACCTACCTCTGTGCTCAGAGCCTGTCAAATCCAGGGGTTGCAGCGGCTGTATCCCTTCCTTCAGGTTCTCCGCTTTGGCCGATGTGAGGCAACAGGTCGGCGGGGCCCAGGGACGCTGAGGGCCCCTTCAGGCAGTTTCTTTGCGCTCCTGGGTCGGGGGCCGCGCCTCAGCCACGGAGGTCTAGCGTCCAGGGGCCCGGGCAGCCGGCCTGCGCCCCGCGCCGGTCCCCGGCGGCCCCGCTGGCCGTCCTGCCGGTGGCCCGGCGCCGGGCGGGCGCTCACTCGATCCGCACCTGCAGCCGCACGTTGAGCATCACCGAGGCCACGATGTAGAAGTAGGGGAAGTTCATGCGCAGCCGCCAGGCCAGGTCGAAGAAGGTGAGCAGCGTGCGAGTGAGCCCCTTGCAGAAGGCGCTGTAGGAGCCGCGAGCCGCGGCCGAGCGCGACAGCCGCACCGCCAAGCCGGACAGGGCCGCCGCCGCCGCCGCCGCGGACAGAGCCGCCGACGCCGCCATGTACCCGGGCCGCCGCAGGCCCCGCCGACCGCCGGCCTTCCCGCAGGAGCGCGAACGTAGAGGGCGACAGCCAGACGCGGTCCCCTGGACGCTGTCCCCCGTCGCTGTCCCCCGGACGCTATCCTCCTTCGCTGTCCCCCCTCGCTATCCCCCAGACGCGGTCCTGCGAATGCTGTCCGGAACCACAGCCGGTCCCCGGGCGCCACGGCCCGCCCTCGGGCTGTCCCCGCCCTCGCCGGGCTCAGCCTCGCCCACCCCCGCCGCCCCTACGGCCACTGTGCCTCCGCCTCCGCGGGACTCAGCAGCCTCTCAGCTCCGCCCCTCGCCGCCTCCTCACTGCGGCTGCTGCGGCCTAGCTCCGCCCCTCTCCTGGCCCCGCCCCTGGACTGGAGATACCAGGGGCGGCCCAGGCCCCGCCCTACGGCACCGCCCCCTCAAAGCCCCGCCCACAGGACCCGCCTCGCCAGCGCAACTCCGCCCTTGGGCCTCACCCCTCCTGTACAGCCCCGCCCACGGGCCCCGCCCTCAAGCCCCACCCACGCGACAGCCCCTCCTACGGGATCCGCCCACAAAGCCCTGCCCACCAGGGCCGCCTCTCCTGTACAGCCCCGCCCATGGGACCCGCCTCGCCAGCGCAGCTCCGCCCACGGGCCTCGCCCCTCCCGTACAGCCCCGCCCATGGGAGCAGCCCTGCCCGCCCACACAGCCCCGCCCACAGGCACCACCCCGCCCTCAAGCCACACCCACGGGACAGCCCCTCCCACGGGGCCCGCCCACAGAGCCCCGCCTCCCCGGGCTCTTCTGGGCGGAGCCTGAGGCCTGAGCTGCAGGGATGGCGGTGCTGCCCCGGATCCCTAGCGAAAGTCCCGGGGGCGCAGCCGGAGTGCGTTGCCCAGGGTCTGGGCGGGTGTGCGGATTCTGCGCAGAAAGCGGTCCTGGGTGTGCACTCTGCTCCGGCTCCCCACCGTCTCCCCAGAAAACCCGGTGTGCCGGCCCACGGTAGTTCGCTCTAGTCTCTCCCACTCGCGCCGTGCGGTGACCGCACCGCGGAGCGCCATCAACTCGATCCACTCGCGTGCGTCCCGGCGTTTCTGGTCCCTGTGCTGCCCGCGTGTGCGGCCGTGTTGGTGGATTTCCCCGCCGACCTCCCCTGCCCCGCGTCCCCTGGGCCCGCCGCTCGCTGCGCGAGGACCTCTCGGGTTTTCCTTTGCCTTAAGCGCCGTCTTTGCTGATGGCCCGAAAACCCTTCACGGGCTCGGCTCCTCTTTATCCTACGTGGACCGAAAATCCCAAACGAGCCCGACCCGGCCTGTTAACGAAGCGGGGAGATAGATGCTGGTTCTTCCTTAGGTCGTGACTCAGAAAACGTAGAGTCAGCAACACGCAGATTCCCTTTGACCCCAGCCCAGCGGTCAGACGAGGGACGGACCTGAATGGTCAGGGCCCCTCAAAATGCCTGGTCAGCGTCACGCTTGACCACCTCGGCAGTCCTCCGTGTAGCTGCACCGGAACCGGCACACTCACACACACCGACTGGACAACTGCCCTACCTACATGGTGAACGGTTTCTGGTTTTTTATTAACAACAACAACAACAACAAAAAACAGTTCCAGTGTGACAGAAGCCACCAAGTTATTGTGCAGGCATCGTGATTTTATCAACCGCACTCCTATGTGTGTGTGTCTAAATGCATTAAAAATGCTAGAGCAAATATATTAAATGACTCAATGTCATCTTCTCTCCTTAAGGCAGTAGGAAGGCAGACTTATTTACTCTCTATGAATATGTATGTCTAGCCATACATATTATATACAACAAAAATTATTTGAAAAAGCGAAGGGCCCATAAAGTAGACTTAACTCACCTAGAAAACCTTTGTTCCAGACTGGATTGAGCTACATTCATTTTCACAATCTGTTTCCCCCAATCATTCTGATACCTCTCCTTGGCGCTTTCTCTTTCATTTTTTAACATTTTTTAAATAATTATAGACTTACATGAAGTTGCAAAAATAGTACATAAAATACCCTCTGCCTTTCATCTAGCTTCCTCCAATCATGACATTTTCTGTAGATAGGTTATAGTAACAACAACAGAAAATTGGTATCAGTATATCACTGCAAATATACTACAAGCCTAATCCTGCTTTCATCATGTTTAAAATTTGCATTAACATGCACATGTATGAGTGTGGGCATGTATAACTCTAGCAGTATTATGGCATGTAAACATGTGTGTAATCATCACTACAATGAAAATACAAAAACGTTTCATTACTCAAAAGAACTCCTTCCATCTACCTCTTTGTGCTTAGACTCTGCCTCCTTGTACACATTTTGTTAGATTTATATCTGCTTGATTCTCTTTAGAGAAACTAAATGGCAATGTGTGTTTAATACATGTTAACTATTTGTTTTCCAGATGTTCAATGTAAGTATGTAGAACTTGAATGGATATTTTTAATTAAAATTGTGAGAGAACTGTAGATTTACATACAGTTGTAAGAGAAAACACAGAGAAATCTCATGCATTCATTAATCAGTTTCCCACAATGGTAATGTCAAATCCACGGTACAATATCACAACCAAGATTTTGGCAGTGCCACAATCAACCTATATTATTCAGATTTCCCTCTGAAATTCCCCACTAAGCTCTTCTCTATCATTTTATTGTGTGAGAAATGTTATTATACAAATGGAGTAATGCAGTATGTAATCTTTTGGGACTGGCTTTTTTTTCCCTCTCCATATCATTCTTTAGAGTCACCCAAGTTTTTGAAAGTGTCAAATGTCAACAGTTCATTTCATTTTGTTGCTAAGTAGTATCCCTTGGTGTGGTTATACCACAATTTGTTTAAGCATTCACCTATGAAGCACACCAGAGATATCTCTGGTTTGGGGCTGCATGAATATTTGCTTACATTTGTGAACACAAAATTCCATTGTCAAGTAAGTTTTCTAAGACTCTGCCAAACTCTTTTCCAGAGTGGCTGTAACATTTTATATTCCCAGTAGCAATTTATGAGTATATCCAGTTTCTCTGCATTTTTGCCAGCAGTTTGTGATATCACTATTTTTTACTTTATCCATTTTGAGGTGAATTTGTGTAAGGTCTCAGGTTTAGGTCCAGTTTCAATTTTTGCCTTTTGGATATCTGATAGCTGGAATATGATTTGTTGCAAAAAGCTCTTCTTCCTCAATTGAATTTCATCTTTGTTCAAAATCAGTTGAACATTATTCTTGGGTCTCTTTATGTGTTCCCTATTTTGTTTCATTGCCTGTTTGTCCTTTCTTCATATCATAGTCTTAATTACTATAGTTACGAGTATGTAGCATATTTTAATAGAAGGTAGAGTAATTCTTCCATCTTCATTTTTCATTACCAACATTTCTTTAGTTATTCTAGAGCTTGCACGTGCCCATATGAAGTTTAGAACGAGCTTGTCTATGAGTACAGAAAAGCTTGCTGGAAATTGTGTTACACTTACCAATTTTGGGGGAGAACTTACATCATGTGTATGTTGATCCTTCCAACCCATGAACAGAGTTATGTCTTTTCATTTATTTAGGTCTTTGTTGTTTTTTTTTTTCAAAATTTTAATTAATCTAATTGAATGACATAGAGACAGGGAGAAAGAGACAGACTGGCAGAGTGAAACCATTGTCTTACTCACTTTCCAAATGCCTACAATGGCCAGCTGAAGCCATGAGTCCATAACTCAATGTTGTGGGTGGCAGGGACTCAACTTCTTGAGCCATGACCTGCTTCCACCAAGGGTGTACATCAGTGGAAATCTGAAACTGGGAGCGCACCAGGAACTCAAAGCAAGGCACTCTAATAAGGAGAATGGGTGTCCCAACAGGCATTTTAACCACTACACTGAATGTCTATTCTCTTTGATTAAAATTTGCATATTTTTCAGTACTCATACCCTATATATTTTGGTTAAATGTACTCCTAAGCATTCATTTTATTTAAAGGGATTATAAATGATTTTTGTTCTTTGAATTCCAGTATCCACATGCTCACTCATTGTGATAGATTTTTGTGTGTTCATCTGGTATCCTGTAACCTGGCTGAACTCTTTTAATACTTCTACGAGTCTTTTTGCCATTTCCTTGAAATTCTCAAACTACACAATTGTGTCATCTGCAATCTGGGGCAGTTTTGTTTCTCCCTTTTCAAACTGTATTTTCTTTCCTTGTCTTATTTCAGTAGGTAGAGTTTCTAGTGCTAGGTTAAATGAGAGTGGTGGGAAGCTGACACCATTGCCTTAGTTTGGCTTTTAGGAGGAAAGCATTTAGTCTTTCACCATTAGGTATGATGTTAGCCATAGTGTTATTTATTTACTTCTTTTTTGAGAAGAGTTTTCAGTTGTCTTATTTGTTTTGTTTCCTATACTTTATTTTTAAAATTTATTTTTATTTTATTTAAAAGCCAGATAGAACCAGAGAAAAAGGGAAATCTTTTATCTGCTGGCTCACTCCTTTTTTTTAAAGATTTTATTTATTTATTTTTAGAAGTAGAGTTACAGACAGTGAGAGGGAGAGACAGAGAGAAAGGTCTTCCATCTGTTGGTTCACTCCCCAGATGGCTCCAACGGCTGGAGCTGTGCCGATCCGAAGCCAGGAGCCAGGTGCTTCTTCCCGGTCTCCCATGTGGGTGCAGAGGCCCAAGGACTTGGCTGAGTGGAGGCTTGGAGTGGATGATAAAATTCCTAGTACAGTCACCATGGGCATCTGAGCCCTGTATTTCCACGTGGGAGTGGGTCATTGAAGAGTAAGCTCCCCACTGAAGCTTCGGAGAGGAGTGGGGCACATTGACTAGAGTAGGGCTTATATTATCACAGAGGTGTCCTGCGTTGTTCAGCCACATTCTTGCTCCCATGCTTTGACTAGAGGGCTTGTTCTTAGGGCTTTGCTTGTGTCAGCAGTTTCAGGTTGCAGGCTTCTGTAGCACCAACAAGGATGTCTAGAAGTAAAACAGAAAACTCAGGGAGCTTGCTGTTACTGTGTATTTCCTCAAGGGACTCCCAAGATCCCTACACAATCCTTCCAACAGTTAAAAGAAAAACTTGACACATATTAAATTTAACAGTTTATGTGGGCAAAGAACAATCTGTGAATCTGGCAGCACTCAGGACCAGAAGAGGTCCAGAAAGCTCTGCCCAGAAGTATGAGCAGTGGAATTTCACAGGTGGATCAGTGAAACAAAGAACAGAAATCACTTGATTGGCTACAGCTAGATGTTTGCCTTATTTAGGTGTAATCTGATGACTGGTTGGCTGATTGTGATTCATTGAGATTTTTTTTTGTTAAGTCGATTACAAGAAATGTTTCTAAGTTATCCTGTAATTTGCTTACATTAGAGCTCCAGTTGTAGAGAAAATCTCAGGCTAATGGCCTCCTGTTTATTTTGCTTTAACACATTTTTCAATTTTCCTGTGCTTGAAATCTAATCAATAATTCAATGTGAGGCAGGGATTTGGCACAATGGTTAAGGTGCTGCTTGGGAGGCCCACATCCCATATCACAGTGCCTGAGTTTGACCCCCAGCTCCGTTCCTGACTTCAGCTCCCTAATAATGCACACTTTTGAAGGAAGCATGTGATGGCTCAAGTAGTTGGGTTCCTGTGTGACAAGGTGGCTTGCAGTTTAAAATTTTCCCACAGGACATAGCTTGCCCGGGTGGTTACAGGTTATCTTGCTTGGTTGCCTCAGAGCACGGACTGTTTGTTCCTTTGAGAAAAACAAGTTAGAGATATCAGTCTGCTCATCCTGCTGTAACCGGCATATTTCTGGCTTCTGTACTTCTGATTGCT